GTGAGTACTTCATTTCTTCCTTTTGTAGGCTGAAAATTTTCCACCATATGGATAGATTATATTTTGTTTATCCACTCATCCCATGATGGTCGTTTGGGTTGTTTCCACCTTTGGGCTACTATAAATAATGCTATTTAATTTCATATATAAGTTTTTGTTTGAAAGCCTGTTTTTAACTTGTAGTTTTTGGAGGTATATACCTAGGAGTGCAGTTGCTGGATCATATGGTAATTCTGTTTATCCTCTTAAAGAGCTGCCAAACTGTGTTCCCCAGCAGCTGCTCTATTTTACAATTTTGCATTCCCATCAGCAAAGCATAAGGGTTCCCATTTCTCCACACCCTCACCAACACTTGTTTTCCTTTTTTTGTTGTTGTTATTGTCATCCTAGCAGGTGTGAAGTGTTGTTTCATTGTGGCTTTGATCTACATTTACATCCTTAATGATTGTGTGTTGAGTATTTTTTCATATATGTGTCAGCCATTTGTATATCTTCTTTGGAGAAATGTCTATTTAACTCTTTGCCCATTTTTAAGTTTGAGTTGCCTCTCTGTTTCTAAGTTGTAGGAGTCTATATATTCTGAATACTAGACCTATATCAGATATATGATTTGCAAATATTTTTCCTACTCTGCGGGGATGCCTTTTCATTCTCTTGTTAGTGTCATTTGTTGGACCAAGGTTTTAGTTTTAATTTATCTAATTATCTAATTTATCTATTTTTTTCTTCTGTTGCCCTTTCTTTGGGTGCCCCATCTAAGAAACCATTGCCAAATTGAAAGTAATGACAATTTAGCCTTGTTTTTTTCTAAGAGTTTTATAGTTTTAGCTCTTATATTTAGGCATTTGATGGTTTGAGTTCATTTTTGTATGATGTAGGCTAGACTTCAGTCTTTCGCATGTGCATACCCAGTTATTATTTTTTGTTGGGTAGGAGATAATTAGATGTATTTATTTACTTATTTATTTTTTAAATGGGGGTACTGGGAATGGAACCCAGGACCTCGTGCTCACTAAGCAGGCACTCTACCACTAAGCTCCCCCTTCAAACCAGTGTTTCCAAACATTCCTAAAAAGTGTCTTCCCAAACAGGTGTCCCTCCAGGTGTTTGAAAATTTTTATAGTGCCATAAAAATGTTTTAACCAATCACACAATGAAAACTGCTGGAAGTCTTTTAGGATGCTCCCACCATAAATGGCCTTTTCCCTCTTCCCGCCTTTGAGACTGTATCCCAAAACTGGCCACCAGAAGGCGCAAGAGGCATTTCGCAGCTGCACCTGAGGCCAGAGCTGGCTGTGATTGTGTTACCATTTAAGCTGAAATTTATTTACCGTTTACTTTAAATATGGTTTTTCTTTTTCTCAACTTAACCTTATTCTTCATTACTTTTTCTTATAACAAGGAAGATATATATTTTCCTCTTATTATCATGTTTATATGTTACTAGGTGCTTCTGCATAAAACATAATTAATTTTTATCAATTTCTTTGATTGGTTATTACTCAGAATTGGTGCTTAGCGTTCAGTTAGACCAAATCTGATTTTTTGGACTTATTACTTATTGTCCTTTTTTTAGAAACCAAGAAAAATGTTTGTATCCAAAAGCATGACTGTTGAACATGATTAGTGGAATTGAGGCATTTACAGCTTCCGAAAATCAAAGCTACAAAGAAAGTTTTATTACATATAAATCCAAGAACTTTCTGTGAATCTTGCAGAATTTTTAATAAATTAAATGAAGATTCACATTTTTGTTCTTTCCACTCCTTGTATATTTGTTATTTTCAAATGAAGAACCTTCTTAAGCATGAAGATCACAAAATATTTTGAAAAAAATCAATTTTCTGAAGCTATTAAGGACTACAGTCCTCTAAGTATTGCATAATTAAATACACTTAATCTTTACAAATATTCATTTCCCCCAGAATTCGACAACTTTTTGAATAAAGCCAGAAAATTAGAATCACAAGACAAATTCTGTTATCAAAAATAACAAGAGCAATTTTATAGCACTGTCTACATGCCAGGCCCTGTTCTAAGCACTTTACATTTAATAATTCATTTAATCCTCAGTATAGCCTTAATGGGTGAGTACTATTATCCTCTTTTTAAACATGAGAAAACTGAGACTCAGAGAGGTGAACTGACTTCCCCAAGGTCACACAGCTGTTAGCTTGTTAAAAAACAGTTGATCTCTGAGTAGGCAACGTAAAAGGGTTCTCTGAAATGCGAATGTGTGTATCCCAATAATTCTCATCTTCACCCTAAGTGTCTCATTTGCAATGAAAAGTGGTCAAATGAAGCAAGAATGCCAAGTAAGCCTGCTGGCATCTTCCAACAGAATGTCTGTTTCACACAGAAAAGGCCTGGACCATTTTAAAATGTCTACAAATGCAAAACAAGAAACAAAGTTCTTTTATGTGATAAGCTGCAATCCTATCAGATCTGTTGCTTATTTTGTTATTTAACCAACACTCACATCAGCTTGCTAAGCGCCAGGCATTGTTCATGGACAAGAAACAAAGTTCTTTTATGTAATAAGCTGTAAGCATTAGCTCTGTTGCTTATTTTGTTATTTAACCAACACACATCAGCTTGCTAAGTGCCAGGCATTGTTCATGGACAGCAGTTCTCAAACTCTTTGGTCCTGAGACCACTTTACACTCTTTTTTCTTTTTCTAATAGAGGTACTGGGGGTTGAATTCAGGACCTTGCGCATACTAAGCAGGGGCTTTACCACTGACTGTACTCCCATCCCTGACTTTACACTCTTAAAAATCACCGAGGACCCTTAAGAGTTTTAGTTAATGTGGGTAACATCTATCAATGTTTAGAGGATTAGAAATACAACAGAAAATTAACAGAATATTCATTAATTCACTTAAAAGTCACAATATTTATCAACTATATTTCAATTTTTTTAAGTAAAATAAAAATCACAATACTTAATCTATTGCACGTTATGTTTCTCTGTTTAATCCTAGTTGCTGCTGCATCAAGCGACTTTCAAAAAGTGGATTTGCCTCTCTGAGCCTCAGTTTCCTTGGGAGGGACTCTGCCTTCTTTATCTCATAACAATGGCTACTTACCCTTTCCTGATCAGTCCCTTAGGATTCAAATCTAAGATAAAAATCTGGCTAAGGTCTTTATCTGGGGCCCAGTCACTAGCCAACAACTGAATTGGTTGCTAGAGTCAGGGATTCTCCCCGGATGCAATCAGCTCTGATCACCAGGAGATACAGGGAAGCAAAGAAGCTTTTGGCTGCAAGTCACACACACAACACACACACACACACAAACACACACACACACATATTGCTGTACACAGAAACTACCTCAACATTGCAAATGAACTCTACTTCAATTTTTTTAAATACCTAAAAAAGAAAAAAGATTAAAAAAAAAACACAATTGCAAATAACAAAAGACAGATGACCTGACAAACATGGCTTAAATGGGTTTTTGCTTTGCCTTTTTTTTTTTTTTTAACAAAACAACCCAGAAATCAGAGGTTTCATGGTGGGACCAGCCCTGGGATCTTATCTTTGTGCCCTGCCACCTTCAGTGTGTGGGCAATTGCCACTCTTGGGCATGAAATGGCTGCAGCTTCTCCAACCATCAAACCTGCAGGTAATCATAGGCAAAGCAGAAAAGGAAGGAAAGAAGAAGGCACCCTTCCTGGGTGTTTCATCAAGAAAAGAGCTTTCCCAGAGGCCAGAGGACAAATTTCCCCTTGTGTCCTGTTGGCCCATGGCCTTCCCTTGAGCAATCGTTGACAAAAGAGAATGAGGGAGCGTGGCAATGGTTGGCTGCTGCCAGTGATTGCTGGATATACCACAGAGACTGCCCAATAGTCCCACAGGGCCTCCCTCCAAAAACTAGGCATGACTGCGTTAGATAGATAAGTGGGGGCACTGGGCAGATAGGTGGAGGAGAGGGAGGATGGTCCGGAAGGTGGCATTATGCCCACCTGCAGCACAAAGGGGCTTTACTTCTTCTAAACGAGTGCCAGCAAGAAACCAGTTAGAACACGACATGCTCAACTGCTCCACAGTGAGGACTTAACAGGACATGACCCAGTGCTCACTGTAATATAATTAACATTGCAGTTTAGGCGCCCCACCACCACCCCATGGGTTTTTCTGTGTACACCGTGGTAAGGACATGTGCAAAGGGGCCAAATATAACTAAGCGTTCCAGGGGCAAGAGCCGTCAATCAGTCAAAAGACCACCTCTAAGCCAGGATATAAGAAAACAGGCAGACAAAGACTGCTGCTTTTCCTCCCTTGATCACCCTGCCTCCCGTTCTTGGAGGTGTACTTTTCCTCTTTTAAATAGATCCTTTAAAATCTTTTGCTTCACAGTGCACCATCTCCGGACTGTAATCGTATCTTTTGGGTATGACAAGAACAAGGGTCTTCTCCCATTTCCTTTTGGGATAACACCTGGTCCTAATGCCCTGCTCTTCTCTACTTCCACACAGCAATTGTTAAGGTGTGTATGTGTGAAATGGCCAAGATTAGGAGACATGGCAGGACACAAAGAGATAACAGGGCTTATATTGTATGGACTTCTTCATGTTGGCCCCTCCAACAATCGAGTGTCATGACTTACTCCACACCCACCGGTGCCCATCATCTGCAGTACCGGCAGTAGGTGCTGGGAAACTGGAAGAGGAGGGGCAGGGGCAGCTCTGGGTGTACAAAGATTCCTTTGGGGCCAAACTGGAGGCCAGGACAAGGATCTGGGCAGGAGAAGACAAGATGTGAGCAGAAGCCAAGAAGAAGAGACTGAAATGCACAGTGGGGCTATCCCCAGGATAAGGAGGTGGGGGAGGCACAGGGAGAATATTTGTGACAAAGTGGAAAAAATCTTCCCCATCAGAGAAACCCCCAGGACACTGGGGACTAGGATTGCTGGGTCCTTGAAATGGTTTGAAGACCAGGATTCCTGGTTAAGAGCCTAGAGTCTCAGAGTTACATCGGAGATGACAGCTAACGTCTTGTTCTTTGGCATTTTATTTCAAAATTGCAGCGAGGAAAAAAAAAAAATCAGCGGCAGCACCGGGAGATCCGGCTGAAGGACGGAGATGCAGAGTCAGGATCAAGGCGTATCCTTGACACCACAACACGGAGCAGCTGGGAGTCCAGGTCCCCAAGGCCTGAGCGTAGGGGCTAGGGGCCAAGACGCCTGGCTCTGGCCCTTATGGCTTTGGGAGTGTAACGTGGGAGCGCCGGAGATCCAGGCGTCCCGGGCCCCCCTCCCCTTTATTTCATATTGCACTTCAGGTGAGTCATTGGTATGGAGGCGAAGATCCAACGGAGGCGGGATGCTACAGGTCAGTGGGTCCATGGAGTGGTGGGGCACAGCCCACAGCGTCACACCAGAAGCATCCACTCGTGGGCTTTCGTTCCGCACTGGGGGATAACAGAAGGCGGAGGTCAGAGGAAGCTACACTACAACTCCCAGGAAGCTCCGGGTCATCCCAGGCTGAGTGGGAGTGAAGTTGCGCCCCAGGACCTCATGGGAAATGTAGTCCGCTTCCCGGACGCCCGCCACCAATGATCCGGCGGGCGGAGTCGTGGCAAAGATGGCGCAGAGGCTTATGGGACATGTAGTTCTGCAAAGAGGAGTTATTGTAAGGCCCTGAAGCCTCTTCGGAGAAGTCATTTTCAGCTGAGAAAGCCTGGAGAGTCAAGAGGTGTAGCTCTAGGTCCTGATGTACAGGAGTTTACAGATGCTCACAGGAAAGGTAGCTCTAGATCAAGTGCCAGGAAAGGAAAGTTATCTCTGCTCACACGAATGAAAAGACCTCCAGAGGCTTATGAGAGTAAACCTTCCCAGATCAGAGCAGGTCACGGTCCAGAGACTTATAGGAAGAAGACTTCTCAGGCCGAAGGAGTAGCCCAGTGCTCCTGGGGATCCTTGGGGCGAGAACCTCAGTGGCTGAGAGGCTGGCTTTAGCCTCCCAGAGGCTTGTGGGAAGGGGATTTCTCAAGCCAGGGGTCCAAAGACTCACAGGAAAGGGTCATTTAGCCCCAAGAAGTATTCTAAACCATGAAGGCTCCAGGAAAGCAAACTCAATCCAAGCCCAGAAACCGAAGGGAGGAGCCATTAACTGTTTGTGGAGACTATGAGGGGGACGTTAACTTCTTTGGGGAACAAACATCCAGCCCATCTCCCAGCAAGTGCCCCTCACCTGGATAGCCTTCAGCTCCTTCTGGAAGCGGAGGATAAGCTCAGGGCCGTTTTCCATGGTTGGAATGTGGAGGTGCTGGGGAAGAGAGTGCCCGTGAGGATGGTGCCCTGTCCCCTACTTCTCCCTCATCGCCAAGGGCAGCCCCACCTCACCTTGCCTTCATACAGGATTCGGTGCACGGGGCAGACCTGGCAAGCGGTGCCTGAACCAAAAACTTCCCGAACCCGCCCGTCCTCCAATGCCCTCATGAACTCCTTCATGGTGATCTTCTGCTCTGTCACCCGGAACTCACCCTGCAGGGCAAGACACACTTACATCAGAGCCAGTAGGCTGCCCTGCTGCAGAGCCCCGCCACTACCTCAGTAGGGATACTGAGAAAAACAGAGACCCAAGAGGGGGGCGGAGACCCCCAGGGAGAGGAGGGGGGCAGAGATATGCCATTGTGCCCCAGCCCCCCCACAGCCCCCTGATACTCTGACCCCCAATTCAGCAGCACCCCATCACTCCAGCCACCCAAAGACACTATGTCCTCACCCAGGAATGGGCCAGGTCCAGCAGGCTCTGTCGGACTACTCCAGGCAGGATGACACCGTCCAGCGGGGGGGTCACCAGTTCCAGCACTGGGTCACCAGGAAGGGATCGGGGTGTGACCTGACACCCTCATGCAACTCTCCCATCCTCTTAGGAGCCACCCCACTGACCCCCAAACCCTGAGACCTGCAATCCACTAAGAATTAAGCCACCACCCACTTCACCAGGGCTTGGGCGGGGCCAGGGGTGAGCTCACCCCCATCTTCATAGGTCCAGAAGATGAAGATGTTCATGGTGCCCACTTCGGTGAGTTGGTGGTCGGGCCCATACAGCCAGAGGACCTGTTCACAGCCCCTTTTTTCTGCCTCCTGCTGCACAAACACGGTGGGCCCATAATTCCTGGGGGACAGGAACATGGTTGACCAATGTAAGGGATCCCCATCCTTCCCCAATGTGGCCCTATGTCGGTCTTTCCAGACCAGGGCTGACCCTGCTTCTCCCTGACTCACAACCCTTCCATGGCTGCCCAGTCACCCTCCTCACTCAGCTCTCCAACCAACCAAATCCCCTAATGTCCTTCAAAACCACCTGTTATGTCCCCTCCTCTGAGGGGTGTTTATGAACCTCCAGGCTGGGGTTTCAGGCCTCCTTCTGGGCTGCCTCAATAAACTGGGCCACCTTGATGATTTCCATATCACCTGTTTTAACCCTGTCTCTCACCCAGAGCTGACCTCACTCCTCACCTGCTCATAAGCCTTCCATGGCTCCCCACTGCCTCTGGGACAAGATCCCAGTCCCTCCGTTCCATGTTCAGGGCTTAGCCTGGCCTGTTAATCTTTTAGCAAAAAACAGGCTTATTTTTCCTCCCTGACAACTTCTGTGACTCTGCCTCTCCTCCCTGCCCCCATGAAGGTATGTTGAAAGGACCTGCATGAACTCCCAGTTGGGGTCACACCTTGCTGTCCCAACACATCCTTCCCCAGCCCTCTGCCTTATCACCACACTCCTTGCCCAACAAGACAAAGCCCCTGGCAGGACAGATTTACACAGAAAGTCCACACACAGGGTGATGGGTGCTGGAGCCCCAGGGGACTATGGGATGGGTGGGATCCTGGGTCTTCAGGGGAGGCTACCTGGGGGAAGACCAGTGAGTTAATTTCATCTCCCTGGGGGCCATCCTAGTTTCTCCGCTTCACCCCACCCAATCCCTTCTGGTCTCTGAGCTGATTTGTCCACAGCACTTGGCCGGGACACCCTGGGTCCCCCAACACCAATACCAATGACATTACAACCCAACATACAAGCAAAGCTGTCCCCAACCATGGGAAACAGGACAAGGACATCCAAAGACACACCCCAAAGCGCGAGAACTACACTCCGTGTCTCTGACACCCAGTGCACCAGACCTGCAAGGTGGGGGAGGGACTACTTACCCCCCCAGCTTGCAGTCGCCGACCCCACCCACCCAGGCCCGGATGAACGTGGGGTCGGCTAGGAGGGAGACAGGGCTCAAGGCATCTCCGGGGAAGTAGGAGCCCACGGGGCAGAGAATGACGTACAGGAGGGCTTGCGTGGGATTGCCAACACCTAGCGAGGGCTGCGATGGGCAGAAGGGTGCATCAGGGACCCAGGAGTCTGGGCCCCCAGCTCCTCTGGGTCCCCAGCCATCCCCATTAGGAACTGCCCCGCCAAGTGTCGTCCCCACCCCAACCCAACCCACTGAGAGCCAGCCCACCTGGTTGCCAATGAACACCGGCCGCACGTAGAGGCTGGTGCCGGCGCCGCTGGGAACCCAGTCCTTGTCCACTTCCACCAGCCGGCGGATGCACTCAAGCAACTCGACCTTGTCAAAGCTCTGGGCGGGAGGCCGATGAGTCAGGGGGCCCTCACGATCCTCGCCCCAGCCCGCGCCCTCCTCCCCCAGGGCGGCCAGGGCCCCTCACCGGCAGGCAGAGGCGCAGGGCTGAGCGTAGCATCCGGTCCATGTTGAGCCACGGTCGGAAGAGGCGCACCTGCTGGTCCCTACCTTTGAACGCCTTCATGCCTTCAAAGAGCTGCAGAGACAGGCAGGCAGGCGGGCGGTCAGAGCTCAGAGATCACCTCAGCCAGCCAGGGACACAGGCTGATACACAGGGATATAGACAGAAAAACGCAGAGAGCGGGGGAGAGGTGAACACGCTGAGCACAAAGAGGAGGGGAGAGAGAGAAAAGATACAGATTCAGAGAGACCCAGAGACAGAGGTGCAGGGAGGATGCTCTGCTTAAACCGTTTCCGTGGTACTAGGACTGTTTCTCAGGAATGAATCTATGCTTTTAAAGAGCCCTGTGTTTTGGCAGAACACTGAAATTGCTATGGATGAAATAATACAATGTCCAGGATTTGCTTCCACATCATACAGAAAGGAGAAAGGGTTAGTAGAAGTCCAGATGAAAAAAGATGGTGACAAAACTGTGCTAACTGATGAGGGAGGGTGATGGAGGGGGAATTATTATCAGACTTTTATGTTTGAAATTTCTCCAAATAAAACCGTTTTTAAATAAACAAGGTCCTGCTGTATAGCACAGGGAACTATATTCCGTATCTTGTAATAAACTAGAATGGAAAAAATGAATAGAGATATATACCTACATATGTATAACCGAATCACTTGGCTGATTCTAACCTGAAATGAACACAATATTGTAAGCCAATTATACTTCAATTAAAAGATAAAATAAAGGGGGAGGGTGTAGCTCAGTGGTAGAGTACGTGCTTATGCATGAGGTCCTGGGTTCAATCCCCAGTGCTTCCATTTAAAATCAATCTTGGATCAATCAATCAAATTACCACCCCCCAAAAATACCTTAAAATGGTCACACTGCCCAAGGCAATCTACAGATTTAATGCAATCCCTATCCAATTACCCAGGACATAATTCACAGAACTAGAACAAATCATAATAAAATTGATATGGAACCATCAAAGACAGAATTGCCAAAGCATTACTGAAGAGAAAGAAA